ATTAAACTTTCGATGGCTTTCCTTTCCGCCGACTGCGACCTGCGACCGTCGAAACACCGACGCGGGTTTTATCCGGGGGTAGGAAATTACAAGCTCGGACGTTCCGTCGATCCACGACAAAAGGCGTTAGCGATGTATCCGACGCTTTAAGCTATTCCTATTTAATAAATGTCACGCCGACGACGTTCGCGAAACATCAAACGAGGAACGCGGGGGCCGCGCGAAAACAGTGACGACACAAGAACCACGATGACTCATAAAAATCGCAATGTTCCGTTATATTACTCGCGTTGTAAAGAACGTCGCTCGACGAATTTCACGTACGGCGTGGCATTTCCAATAACCGTGTTGCTATCTGCCAGTGGTATGGTCCGCGGAAACGATAGCAATCTCGTTACAGTGCACCGTGGAAAAATCGACCCTTTCCACCCCCTCTCTACCCCATACCTTTTGTTAGAAATAAAGTCAATTCGCAAGTTATGACCTTTCGTCATAACTTAGAAACCTTCCATGGACGGGGATATCGACGAACATCGGAGAAAATGTCCTCGAATCTTTTCAAGAGATTAACACCACCTTTGTACATATTTTTTGTATTTTCTATAGCTCAACAAATGATATTTTTACACGATGGCTTGTTATCGTTGCGTTCCAGACGCATCGGTCCGAAGTTAAAATTCGTCCCAATCGTAAATCCAATGTTATATTCAGGTATCTAGCATGGCATAGGTCACGTTTAAACGCAAAAAACTATAATTCCGACCGAGAAGCCTGACGCGAGCAGAATCGGGCGCGCAACGATGCCAAATATGTACATCGAAATGCATACTCGACTAAACGACACTTCCGTAAGTAAACCTGGTGGAACGTAGATTGTTTCGACCGAGGCAGAACCCGACCTGATTAGCCCAGTTTCGGATTTCATTCGCGTGAAATAATGCGGCAGCTAGAAGTAATAGCGCGTGTTATACGCGCGCGAGTGCAGAGCTTATAAGCTACAAAAAGTCCGGCAATAACGTGGCTCTAATAACCACGCTTGATCCGCGCGTTTCTCTTTTCCTTTTGTCTATTCCCGTGCCACCCCTATGGCGCCGTTCCTTCCATTATCTTTTATTTTTCCCGTGTCGGGTTCGCGGAGCATCGGTTTTTCGGGCGGAGATGCCACGACGCACACGCGTCGTCGGCTATTACACGATCCTCGTTGCCTCTTTCCCAGCAATATTCGCCCCAATTTGTCGAACACGCGACACGAATTACGTGGTGACACCCTGGATTGGGACGACGACGCGATTTATCGCCACGAACCGACGGGAACCTACGGGTGAGCAATTTGAATTTGTTTTCGTGTCGCTGACAAGAAACGTCCACCGTCGATTGTAACGAAATTTTGTAGGCTCACATGGCGATCACGCGTGAGGGAAACGTGTTTATTTTTAGCACCCAGATACTCAAGTTTAAGGGGTGAAACCACCCCTCGCGAGACTCACTCCGGTATTCTATTTCGAGAACTATTGGGGACACAAGTAGTTTTAACAAATTCTTTATGATTTCTGTTGGAAATTGTTGTTTAGTTTGTCTGTTAATTAATTTACGAACATAGAGCTGCTACGTCTAGCTAAAAAAGCTTCACCAGTATGTTAGTTTCGCAACCTACAAGGAACCGTCGTCCTAAATTTGGCCACGTCTCATATGGTACGCTAATGAATAAACATGTGTAACATCCTGGCCCCGAGCAATGACTCGACCTATCACGAGTAAATGTTCCAGTATTTCGGCCCCTTAATACGTGTTTACATTGTATCATCTCTGTATCTCATGAGAGGTAAAAATGAAAGGGGAACAAATAAGGAAGTCGACCCTAATAGATGTGGACTTTGCTTATTGGAAATATTGTTACAAACAAAAATAATACACTCTTTCAACAATGGCAGCTTCTATCAGGGATGCAAATATTTTTGTATAACTTTTGTGATCGCAAAGTCAACCAGTCAAATTGTTTCTCGACGCTGCTAGTATTAAAAACAAATTAGTATTTTTAATGTGAACGAAAGTAGTAGAGACATGGGCTGAGAAATATCGACTAATTCTACTGCGTCGAATGGTTGACTCGTACTACTGCGATCTTGGAATAGTCTCTCTTAGCTTCTAACGGAAAGATTTCCATTAAATTCGGTGAAACTGTTTATATTAATAACCAGGGTGCTCCAAAAATAAATGGTGGACCATTTTGGAATATATTTGACACATTGATTAACGCATTTTTCAAAGCGCGAATAATTTGAAATGCATTAAACAACGTCGCGTTGTTGCATATTTTCCAATCACGTCGACCCGAAGTTTCAACTAATATCCCAAGTATCTCGACAACGCCGAACAACCAACGGAACTTTCGCGTTTGACTGCAAGCCCTCGATTATCTCCCCTCTATCGAAGGCGGCGCCGTCGGAACACGGGAAGAAAAAGCGTCTCGCGACGGAAAGATTGCAGCTGACGACTTTTTCGCTCGCGAACTTCGTTGGAACGGAAGTTTCGATATCAATTCTCGCGACAACGATCATAAACAACGAACGCGATCCTCTGGAACGATACGGGCGACTCCGAGTCTCGTTGCTGGCAATTGCCAGACGTTAAATTACTAAATTACGACTCGAGATTGATTTCTTAAACAGAATTCTGCTCTTACGTACCAATTGCAAACAGTTTTCTCCATTGTTCACTGTATTACCGCGTACAAAACATTTCGTAAGTACGAATCGATAATTAAATCGCGAAGAAAATCTATTTGTTTAATTTATTTAATGTGTTTAAAAATTTTGTTGTAGTTTAAATTGTTCCGCTGTAAAAATTGCTAAGTAATTCATTTTTTAGCGTTTGACTCTAAATTAACCACACTGCATGCATTGAAAAACGTGATGCGATCAAATATGGCGACTAGAGTTCATCGATAGTCGATCAACGTTTTCAAAATATGTTTGCGTGACATTCTATCTTTTTAATTAAATTATTGTTCCATTTCAAGATGAGAATTGTGCAATTCTGAAGAAAAGCGGTTCTATTCCCCTTAATTTTAAATGTCACAAGTAATTCTTTAAACGCTCGAGCAACCTTTGCACGCTTGGAAAGCATTAGAATGCCTGGGCTGCAGCCTCGAAATGTTCACAAACGAGCGCCGAGGGAATTTCACGACCGAAGTCGCGGAGCTGAGTCGTTCTGTGCAATAAACAATGGGGTGACGTTTACAGGAACGTGCAATTCAAATTCAGTGAAATTATTATAAAATAGTTCAGAGATATTGTCGATAGGAAATCCTTCTGTGTTATTTGCGATTGTAACTCGAAGGAGCCCGATTACTCGAAGCTACTCATTAATTCGTAGAATAAGAGGCCAATCTCTTTCTATAAATTAAGGAAATTGATACCGTGCTGTCAAAAGGAACGACCAGCCGTGTAATCAAACTAAATTATTACTGCGTGAATTGCGTCGTTCGCGTAAATTATTGCCGTTGCAATATAATTTTCGGAAAATATAAAAAAAGGAGTAATATTATATAGAAGAGAAATTAGGAAATGTAATAACAACGAAGATACTTGAAGAAATTCTAAATACGTTGTTTTAATTCTGGGGAATAGGAACTTTGAGGAGATAATTGAAGAGACACTGAATGGAAACTGCGTTAAAACGGTCGTAACGTTAATTAATCGAGCAAGAAAGTTGGTGCAGTTTTTTATTCATGAGATTCAGAAAGAGGTCACCTGTTGCGCGAAGAAGTAAATGGCGTACGACGGAGAAGCGTAAGGCGATTACAAATTACACTAATTGCTTAAATTCTATAATTTTTAGGCGTTAGGCGCGAAGTTTTAATATTCTTATATTCGGTTCGATTCGTAAATTATTGGAATTCTTCGTAATTTGAGAGAAAAAGTAGTGGAACAATGTCGCTAAATGCAATTGTTCAATTTCGCGTCATATCGAATGCTGAAAAAGCTTCGTCGAATAAACATGGAATAAAGAGTATATTTTCCATCGGCTCGTGCTTGTCCCATTTTCCAGGGTCATTCAGAAATGAGTTTCCCTGATTGTTCCGTGCAGTGTGAAAATACGTACGACTCGACGGGTAAACTTAAATCACGAAGCAACGATATGAAATCGTTGAAATATTCCCGGTGCTTTGTGACGTGAGTTGGAACTAAATCGACTGGAAAGAAATTTCGTTACGAGAACGCCAATAATGCTTGTATGTTTCCATTGTGTCGAATATAGAATTTACCGTGTTCTCGAGTCGATCAAATCGTAGTGCATTTTTCTTTTTATTAGCAGATTATAGAAACTTGCACGGATTCTTCAAATACTTCCAGAACATAAATTTTACGATACACTAGCTCAACACAGTACAGTGGAAATTTTTATTTCTAATCAGATGTCACTTCGAGAAGCTACTTTGGTTTTGAAAATTAAAAACACTACAGTATCGATGTTTCCAAACTGGATATTTAGGATGCACAGAATAGTACCTCGATATAGGACGAAGTTAGAGGCTCGTTTATTGTTCGCTAGATTTCAATTTGTAATCAGGACCACTTCAACAACAGGTTATTATTACTACTCTAGCACAGTAGAAAGATGTCAATTTGAATTTTTAATTAAAAAACACTTGGACAACTGGACATACGAATGGAAATTAAATATTCGAAAAGTCACTTTTCCATAAAAATTTCCAATCCCAAAAGTGAGACACAGAGACCACTGCTCTGACTATAAAAAATTCCAGTGAACACCTGCCATTTTGGATATACAATCGACGAACACTTGCAAATTTTATGAACGGAAATATTAAAAAATAACTATTGACGACACTGTGGAAGTTTGAAAAGTGGTAAATTTGATTTTAAGAAGCACTTGGACGTCACGTATCGCGGGAAAGAGGGCTCGAAGGTACACTGATCGGGTATCTGCCTAATCCATGGATGGAATCGCGTCTTTTGAAGAAAGAAGCCGCTCACCTGTTGCTGGGTTAAAGCGACGGGATGAGTTGGTGGTCCTCGGGGAATCGCAGACCGCCGGTTTGACTCTCGCGAACGGGGCTGGATGGATCCTCACGTGACTTGCAGCTGAAGGAACGTCGGGGTTGACTGGACGACGCTGGGCACCGCAACTTAGCTGTCTACGCGGGAATGGTGAGCAGGGTATCGCGACGCCACCCTTTATACGTGTGTGAGCGCCGATGGTACTGTCTCTTTCCGTCTTGGGCATCCCCTATGCCTCTGTTCGCGGTCCTGTCTTCCACCCGCGGCGTTTCCTTCCGTTTGCGCATACGCGCGGTCCGACGTCGACCATGGGCATTCAATTCTCTCTGTTGCAAGCTTCGAGCAAGTTGGTCTCGCGTTATGGCTCGAATCACTCCGAACCCTTTAACGGAAGCAAACTTCTCTAAGTAACGTGTTCGATAGTTTGAGAACGGTTGGTTGTAACGTTCGAAGCACTAAACCATAGAGAAACCGGTGCAACGATTAGGAGTAGCTGTTTTTTTGTTTTAAAAAATAAAAATGTTAGCACGATCGGAGTGTGAAATGTCTTGAAATTGTCGTTTGACAGGGTTTAGAGACACGGGTTTGAGAAGTTTGGGATTGAATCATTGTGCAAGTTGGCCACGTGTCTTTTTTATTAGTATAAATTAATGGGATGACGAATAGATTTAGTCAAAAATTTTGGTAAAAGTGTAATTGAACTTCCATTGGGTGGATGTTTAGTACAACTGGGATAACTCTTTAAAATTGCGTGCTTGATGGTTGGGAGTAGTTTGAGATCGTACGATGTCTTTCTAATCAATCTAAATTAAATTCAAAGTTTGGTTTAAAGATCGGTAAAGTGCAGTTCAATTTCTGCTGGTTGATTATTGAGTGTTATTGCTAGCGTTATAGGTCAAATCGCTGACACGCCTCTAACGGACGCCAAATTCTCTAAGCACATAACTTGTTGGATAGTTTGAGCGGTTGGTTATAGGGTTTAATGCGATAAGCCACTAGTTAGCTAAGAAGCTTGGAACCTGTAGGTTAGAAAATGTCCTTTTCTGTAGAAAACAAAACTATTAACACGATAGGGGTATATGCAAGTTGGCTAGCGTTGTATTAGCTCATGTATGAAGCTCAGTATTGTCAGATGTCCCTTTTACCATAGAAAAGGAATTTTAATTTAATGGGAAGACAAATATCAGTTCAACTTTTATAGTATTTAATTTTCAGTTAGTTTCAAACAGCTTCAAACTTTGGGGTGGTATTTGTACACTCACCTCTGGCGATAGACTATGATGCATGGAACTATGGGAATGCTTTATCAAAGTTGGACTTAAAATAGAAATTTATTATAAATGACCAGTCCAGTATTATTCAGTACACCTAATTACATTTTACGTTTACTTAGCTTCTTTTAAAAAGACATTCCGATAATATTTCTTATTCTTGAACATCCTTCTGAATGTATAGCCCATTGTTTCAGTGGCTGGCGTCAGCTCGCCATTCTGGTATCCAAGTTTTGGATTGTCTTTTCTCATGTATTGTTTCATGTCTCTTGCAATGCTCGTCACAGATGCTCTCGAGGCTTCGTGTACTGTAATGAACCCACCCATCCAGTTCCTTCCACAGAAGTTATAGGAGATAGCCACACCGTATTACAAACGACTGCTGAATTGTGGTACTCTATATTACAATCAGTATATTTAGAACCCTTAATTTAATTTAAAAAGCACATGCCCAATTGTTATTTCAGATTAAATTTACGACACCCCTTTAACTGCATTCAAAATCAATCACCAAAATACCCTAGGTACCGACTTCACGAAAATAAAAAAGTTTTGAAATCGAACGTTCCGAATTAAAAAAATTTAAATCTAAGTTTGCAATTGGGGATTCAAAAAGCTCCCCAAATATTAATTTGGATAAGAATAAGAAATCAAAGCTATCATGGTGATTTCTGGCGTTAAGTTTCCAAAATTTGTTTGAAATTTGAAGCGATTCAGAGAGTCTCGAACCTATCGCTAGTGACGACACACCGTGCCTATCTCGTGGACCACCTGACACGCATATATGCATTTTCGTAGATCATCCCTCTTCCCATTCCGCCATCCTTTCCAACGACAGTACACCCACGCACGACCCGTCGTTTCGTAGGTATTTTTGTTCTCTTTACTACTCGCTTTTTTGCTTTCCACGGCGCAGGCAACAGGTCGATCGTCTCACCCTTTCCCCCTCGAAATGCCAGCTCGGCTGTTTTCAGCCCTCGCGAGTTGGAACATTCACGGTTTCAGTGGAAATCTCGGACGCTGGTTAATTAAATTGTAAAACAACTAATTGCAGCAAATTTGTGAACTCTATGCTACGATAAACTGGAACTAATTTATTCCTTAAATTACTCTCCGGTAGAAACATAAATAATTTACATAGTTTAATATTACGTCTAAAAATGAATCACATTACAAAATTTTGCATGAAATTAAATATAATTGCTAACATTCGTTTTTATAAACATTAAATGTAGTATCGGATGTAATTTAATTATAATTGTAATTGAAAAAGAGACGTCATGTTATGTAGATACTCCCGATTCCCAGAAAAACTCTAAATATGCAGGATACCCGATAGTTGGTAATGCGAGCTCCAGCATAGTGATTCTACATGAAAAACTGTGTAAAAAATATAGAATAAAGTTTTTGCGTGCGACACTTTGTTTTCGAGAAAATTAATTTAGAAGATTCGTGGGACACACGTACGTTAAGTCAGACGTGTCTGACCATTGATCGTTATTTCTACTTGCGTTGGACATTTCTATGTATTACATAATAGGCAATTAATATTTAAGAACGCAAACGTAAATAGTAATAACAATTAATGGTCACACAAGTCATACTTAATCGTGAACGTGCCCCAAAAATTTTAAAAATCAATTTTCTTGAAAACGAAGCGTCGTACGAACAAAATTTTATTCTACATATTCGACTCACTTTTTCATGCAAAATGATCGTACTATCATTTCCATCGTAAATAACTTTGTCGAACGTTGTAGTCAACAATTATTGACAAGTGGTAATTTGCGTCGAATGATAAGTTTCTATATAAAAATATTAGTCCCCCAGTCCATTTAATAAACAAAAATGAAGTCTACATCATTGAGAAAACAGTTAGTAATATTTTATTTGAACCACGTGGTATATCGCGTGTAACTTCAGGCGAAAAAAGGTGTTAAAAATTTTATAACCTTAACAGAAAAAAAAATGTGGACACGTTTCCATCTCCAGCACGTGCTCCTGGCGGCTGCACAAACATGAAAACGTTGATCACACGGATTTGTTGTTCGTCTTTCGTCGGGTTTTTCGCGACCAAGCGTTTACGAGTTTTTTTACTTTACGAGCAACGAGGAAATCCAGCAGTCTGGGGCACGTGGTTAACCGTATCCAGCTTTCGAAAAAAAATGTCCCTAAACGACCAAGATTGTTACTATTACAAGATACAAAATTGTTACTATAATCACGCATGCTATAAAAGTCGAGGGATTGAAATCGTCTAACAAACAAGCTGAATCGGGTCAACGGAGTTTTAGCGACAATATTGCAGGCTTAATCGTTACCAATCTCAGAAAAGTTCGAATGTTTCTTGAACTATAGTAGCGGATAAGGAGCCATTTGCGTCCGAAACGGTCGATTTCAATTAACGATAGCAACTTCGTTAGGCATCCCTTGCGAATTAGGAGCAATTTCACTCGAAAGTACTAAACGCTCCTATCAAAGATCGAGAAATTCGTCATCCGAGTAGCTGTAATCTTCGAAATGCATCGCGTTTAAAATTAGCATGCGTTGAAAATAAAAATCGAAGACTATAACTATTTCAATATCGCAGTGACATTTTATTTCGTTCCTTTGAAAAAATGGCGGCTCTCGGAACATTTCTAACTTCACCCTATCTCTAGAACTTTATTAGTCGAGGCGACAGCATATCGAAAAAGTTTTTCTGTCCACTTCACGATGTAACACGTACTTTGTAATGCATTAACGTGTACGAGTTTTTAATGTATAAGCCGGTCGGCCATTTTACACGGTTTCCCGCTTATTATTCAAGATCAATATCGCGGGTTTTAATGGCAAACTACACTTTCTAACCTCCAAAGCAGAAAATAGTGTTTTAACGATCTCTATTTTTAATATACTTTTCCTATTCCTTGAAATTTTGCAATATTTAAATAAATATTAGGCCATATAATATTTATTTTAAATTTCTGATTCAAAAGCAGGCGTGGATTTTGAAAGGTGCTTCATAATGTTCGCGGTGGAGGTTAGGTTGGCCAAAGTACACATATAAGTAATAGAGCACGTGTGGCTATTCCCAGTTTTGTATACCCAAAGATTAAATAACAGAGTGTAGATAATCTAAAACGAAGAAGCTGACTGAACTGATAATGCTGAAGATTTATAACCTGTCTGTTAACAGTTCTATAAAAAAAATCGACCTAACCCAACGGGACTCGGGGATGTTTCGTATAATACGAAATGAACGCGCGGAAAGTTGTTGGTTTTCCTTTTTTTGCTATACGTAGTACCTGTCATACGAACAATGACACGGTCTCTTTCGGGGAAAAACGATGTGCGTCAAACGACATTTGCTTCAACAGTTCGTGGTAAAAGGCGGCACGATTTTCCAACGATTTTTTTCACCAGCTCGTTCAAGCGGCTATGAAAACACAATTTCAAGATGGCTCTCGTCAAACAGTATCATCGCGGGGAGTGGGGTCGGTGTTTGTTTTTCTTTTGGCTGTCCAACAGTGCAAGCGATATGCACGGAATGACCCTCGGGGGGGTGAACGACCGACATTTAGCGACGATTCCAGACGATAGCAAAATTCCATATTCGTTCAAACAGGGTAGATTCTCTTAAGGACCGAGAGTCTCGAAAGTATCGAGATTAAATAACCATTACGAAGTTTTTAATCGCAGCAGTGAGCAGGGATCGATAACATCTGCATAGGAAAGCTTCGAAAAAGAATATTTCAGCAGACTTTTAAAAAAAATTCTCGAATAATTTTCCCCGTGTAATATTCTATTTTCACCTTGTACCGGCTTTGATAGAAACACGTATGTAGTTTCCCGAGCAACGGGTTCCCCGTAAGCGAAACGCA